ATACTCATATTGAAAGCAAGAAAGAAACAATGTGAGGGTATAGAGTGTGAACTTTCTATACAAAATGTACATAATGAATAATGTAAATTTATTGATAATGTAAATTTATCAATTCAAATATTAGCTTTTATTATGATATATGAGGTCGGCTTACAGGAATAGAGGTCAACACTATTTATTTTTCACAGAAAAATATCTATATCCATATATTGTAGATTTAAAACTCTGATCAATTCAATGTTTCATGTTACATTATACACAACTCGGATAATAATGTTTTCGTGAAATCTAAAACGCAAATTAATTGTGTTTATTTTTTTTAAGCGGACGTCAAGTAGATTTTGTCAATTATTATGTAATTATAAAAATTTCGATTAATTTTTTGTATTATTACCATATATATTCTAATTATAAAACATTTATAAATTTATATTTTGCTATTATAATTTATATGTCTTTCCGTATTTAATAAGCAGTGATACATGTTCACTTGTTAAAAACACAAAAATATATTACGCAACACTCCAAGTTCTAACTAAATCTCGCAAATTCCGATGATCTATGTAAAATGATGAATCTTTACTAGTATATCTGTACATCATAATATATTATTCCGGATAATCTAAATCGACTCAATTGGATAATCATCGAATTTATCGACTAGTATATATTATTTACAATTTTGTGTGGAGCAATTATTATTTCGTTGCCTTATTTAATATTGTTAAATGAATATCAATTTTTATACGCAGTTATAATTCGATTTCAATAAATTGTTATATTGCATTGTAATTAAAGATTGCAGATGCAGGATAATATTAAGCCGGACCAAGTCTTTAAATCATAAGAGAATATTATAATTTATGATAATTGAAAAATATGTGAACCAAGGGGACTAAACAGGACTTTAAATAAAATTGAAATATGCAACGATAGCTTTTATAAGTTTATTGTTAAGAATATTGTAAACATTCTCTTTTATCGTAATATCGTTAAACGATCGAAAAATTAAATAAAAACATTTTGAATTAAAAATTTTTTCCTAATAAAATAAACGTATATTTTTTAATTAACTCTTATTCACGTTCTACCATCATTTATTTCCCTATGGCTCGTATAATTAAAATCCATAGAAAAAAAGTATTTTTTATGATAATCTAGTCAGTTCCTGATAAATAAGAAAGAATTGCGATTAATCAAATTCATGGAAAATCCTAGTTTAATTTGACTGATTTTAATAGAAATTTATAAATGCGCGATTATAATTAACGATAATTTTATATTTTCTCTTTAATAATTTGTAGTCCTTGAACGAGTTGACAATTGACATGCAATTTAATGAGAACAAGTGATAATTTGCACATACTCGTTAATCTCAATTACTATAAGACTATTCATAAGATATATAAATTAATTAATTAATCGTATATTGGCTTTATTACGGACATTAGAAAAAAATTAATTTAACCGTGTTTATAGTATAATCTATAGTACTTCTTAATTTTGAATAAATACTCTCTGCACTAGAATTGGTGGACATTCTTATTGCTCATAAATCTGGAATTTAAAAATTTAAAAGCATTATTTTTTATTATAGAAATGTTTTATATGCAGAAGAGTAATAATCCGCGCAAGTTCGTAATTAATTTTGTAAAGTAAAAATTTATCGGAGATGAAACGTTAATTTTAGTAACGATATTTTCGTAATTATCCATTAACTGTTTTAATCATCATTTTATCTCCATAATCGTCATTCGATATAAGTATCTTCAATTAAGATATATTTACTACATTAATTATATTTTTTCATATTTTATAGGGACAAATCATTTCAAAGTCTTTTACTTTTACTTAATTGTCAAATAAAAATTTATTATCAATGAAATTGGTTATATACTTAAATTGTTTTTATACTCCAAGTTCTAATGTATTATATTTCTCAATTTTGAAAAGATTAATAATAACTTTAATATATGTATATTCTCAACAATTGCTTGCTCCTATTATATGACATATCTTTGCAATAAGCATAATTTGACTTTTTTTTTTTTTTTTACTGACTGTCAAACAAAAGATAATATGAACTTTTCTTCATATAATTTGACACATAGTATTATGACTCATTATTTTCCATCTTTTACAATGGAAAACTACGAGCTATAAAATAGAATCTTGTGTAGTTGAAAATGTCATTTATTTTATAATTATTATTAATTTAGCATTATACTGTGGCTATCAGAAATCTACTGGTTTTTTTTTTTTTTTTTTTTTTTTTTATTATTTCGTACGTAAGTAATACATTTACTTGCAATTCCGGTTTTTTCTTTTATATCAATTTGATTTCATTTCTTTGTTAAGGATAGCACTCGTGCATTTATTTTCATCTTTTCAATCTACATTTGCATTGTTTTTATAGTTCTTAGTCCATATACTAATAAGACATAATATGTCAATTTAAATAAATTATATCCGTATTAAATATATAAAATGCCCAAAAGTATAAAAAAAAAAAAAAAAAAAAAAAAAAAAAAAATGAAAGAAAAATTAACATAAGCATAATTACGATAAAATTAATTATTATTGAGTAGATTAATTTTATAGCAGTTTTGAGTAAATATTAAATATTAAAATATTACTAGTCTTACGTATTAATTTATCATTATGTATATAAGAGATAAGTGTTAAGGAATCAATTGGTTCGGTAGATTTGACTTATTTGAATTATTTAAATGATTAATTTTCGATTTCTTAATAGATGGATGAAAAACGAGGTAGCTCCTATTCATTACATTTTCATTTCATAACAGCATTATTGCGATCATATTTGTAATTGTAATGTTATGCATCCTCATTGTAATCTGACTCTGTAATATCGAATCTAATGTAATATTATCCATTTCATATCATTGTCGCATTCATTGGGTTCAAGCTTCCGGAGATTTTTAATTGATCCACCTATTTCACTCCATTTTCACTTGCATCGATCAACTCGAATTCGTTGTCCGATGAGCAAGTGACTAACGGTTGATAGATTGACTAAGTAATTCATTACACAAGAGGATTTGTAGTGTGAGAGTATTTTAGAGTACATCGGAAATTATCAGGGATTTCTTATTTCTTTTTGATTTCTTAATTCTTTTCAATTGTCAATATAGAATAGGCGCCTCTAAACTTACCACTAAATTAGAATTTCAAAGCTTTATGGTTGACTACTATTGGATAATTCTGAATGGTGAAATGTTATTGGCTTGTTATAGCAGTTATTCACCATTCAAATTGCCTCTTTCGATTACCATTCGAAATATACTGGAATATTTTGCCTCGGTAACTTACGTTACGATATATGAATATATAGGCAATAAAAGAAAATCAATTCTATTTAAGCATTTAATGTAAATATATATAAACTTTTTCCCCCTTGAAATTTGCTTCCATATCCTTTTTTAACCACGCGAGCTCGATTTTCATCCAACTATTTGTGGACTATTTGTTTACGCATTTACTCGACTTAAGAGCTCGGTTGCTATCAATATTATCATCATTCTATCACTCTCATTTTTCCCTCTTGTTAACTTTTCAACATCCCTTCTTCGCTCGTACTTTCATTTAAAGCTCATTATTAATCAGTAAATAACATTCTTATTTTTAAATATTACATTAATAAATAAATATTTTTATTAAATGCAATATGTACTTAATTGATCATTTCTATGATCTGAATGCAGATTTGTCGATATTTTAGATACATTTCTCTTAGCAAGATAGTATACAAAAAGTTTTTAATATTTCAATATTTTTTTTACTATTTTATCAATATTTTTTGAGCTCCCGCGCAGTAATTTAACGATGTGTTAAATAATGTTAATTTTATTAGAGAAATATTTTATATATCTTTGGCCATTGAAGAAGCAAAGAAAGAAGAAAAAAATGCGAAGAACGAGTCATCACATAAAATAGAATCGGTCTATCGTAATACGTGCTCCTTGTAAATGATTTAAAAAAAAAAAAATTTGATTTCCTACAATCTGAACAGTTTAATTATAACTTCGTTCGCTTTTATGAATACATAATTCTTTCAATGTCCAAGAATTTAAATTAAACGTCGAAAATATATTTCTTTCCATTCTAGAAGGCGTGATAATTTTTCCAAAACTTTAATTTAAAAACATCTAACAAGAAAGTGATAAAAGATGAAATAAATTCTTCAACATATATAAGAATTTTATTTAAAACCTTATTTATACTGTAAATCACAAACAATTTATTATATATATATATATATATTTTTTTTTCACAATAACAATAACAACAACAACAATAACAACAACAACAACAACGACAACAACAACAACAACAACAACAACAACAACAACAACAACAATAATAATAATAATAATAATAATGAGAAATTGATCGTAATAATTTCATAACTACCAGATAAAAATAATATTAATAGGAATTGTTTAAAAAAATTAATGATATTGCTAAAGGTAAAGGAAGTAATTCAATAATTCAATAAATTATCTAAGAGTAAATATACTTATTTCAATTAAAATAAATGATTAATTTATAATCAAACATTGCGATCCCTTTTTTAGCCGATTACTAAATTCCATAATAAAACTGATCAAATCAGAATAAAGTATATAAGTAATTATAATAGAAAATAGAAACTAGAAATACGTTATAAATTGCAAAGAAAATAATGAGCAGATTTCTAATAATACATATATATATATATATATATATATATATATATATATATATATATATATATGATATAGAATATTTCGATTAGTTTGGATGGAAGGATTGCTAATTATTGGTAAATTATTAAAGAATTATTTGAAATAATTTTTCTCTCTAAAAAATAATCAATAGTAATAGTAATAATGCAACTCATAATATTCTTAATAAAATTATTCGTAAATTAATGTTGAATGTATTATAGGTAAATGAAGCATACATTAATGTTCTTTGTTCTTGCATGTATATTCTTCAATTCTTTATTCTTACATGGCTGAATGAAGTGAGCAATGTTTCAAGAATGCTCATTCGATTAGAATTTTCGAAGCATTTGAACGTCAAAGGGCTTATCTCTTAAGCATTACGCGAACATAAATACTTTACAATGTAATTGAGTTAATCTGTAGGCTTTTTTAGTTCTGAGGTAAGTATTCATCGTTGTGGTAGACAACAACATCTTGTATGTATATATTTTGAGCGTCAAATGCACTGTAAGCCAGTTGTTTGTCCAATGGGTAGCCAAGGGGTCTTCCATCCAGAGATACAGCGCCACCAATAATGTTGCCTATGTAATTATTTTGGTAATAATTGCGATAATATTGTTCGTGGCCCTTGTTGTTCTGATAAGTGTTGGGTGAGTACGTGGTTGTGCGTCCGCTCCTGCTGTTATCTACCGTTCCTCGGCTTTGATAACCACCTTGATTTTGGCTAGACTCTGTAGACCTAAATGGCTGGAAGCGCTGAACTTTACCAGTTGGGTATTCGGCTTGTCCTTGGCCAATACCATAAGAGGAACTTTGTCCCTGATTGTAGGAAGCACCTTGGTTTGAGTAATAGTCGTCAGTATCATCCTGAGAATGTTGTTCGTAGCTATTAACAGCGCGTTCGTAGTTTATGCCTTTGTCGCCACTACGATAACCATTGTAACCTTGTTGTTGATTTGGTGCCGCTACGTTGGTATACGTTTGTTGACCGTGTTGGTAATTGTAGCTGCCAGGATATTTCTTGTATAAGTAATCACTGTACGAGTTTCCTATAATTAATGTTTTTCCTTTTAAAAATATGCAGAGCTATTTATGATAATTTTATAACTTATTGTAATAGAGCTTGCTTTAGTGTACTTAATGTTGCATAGTCCTCTACTTATTGATTAAAATAAAGTGAACGTGAATTAATTTACCTTTTGAGAGAATCGGTCCTTCAAATTCTGGTATCACTTCAGTAGTCTGGTAAACATTACTATTTCTGTCTTGGTTTCTTACGTTTCCTTGGTACTCTCCACGTTCAACAATTTGATAATGTTGTGGCTGATAAGTCATAAATTCCTCTTCGACAACTGGGCCATAAAATTCCGCTTGCTGTTTAACTTGATTTCCGGAACTTATAATGACCAATAATTGCAGGGGGAATCCGGATTTTGAACCTTTGGGTAAGCTTAATCTCGCTGGGAATCCATAAAGTTGTTCTGCCTAAATTTTCATGAGAGAAGTATATTATGGAATGTTCTGTATAAAGTTAATGTTTATAAAAGGGAAATAAATATATACATAGTTGACGTAGTATGGACTTTCCGAGCGCACGGCACTGTAAATTTGGTTTTTAATTTGTTGGAAGGAAGGGAAATCGAAGCTCTGTCCAGTGGCTTCCTGAGAATTTCTCACAATGACGTTCTGTCCTTCGGCAACTACAAGCACATCGCATACAATGCAATTATTTGTCAAAAATTTCTCCTTTAATATTAGAATTCATGGCAAAGTGTTTACGGAGCATTTTTTTTTGTTTTTTTTTTTTTTGTTTTTTTTGTTTTAAAGACGATTGTAATTTAAAGCAAGATGCACATGTCTATTAATGTTTGCATGTGTGACCGTCGTTAGGGGGAGTCATTATAAACGCTACTTACGATCGTAGAAGAATTGGTCGAGTTCGTAAAAGTAGTGACGGTCTGCGGAAACGTCAATCGGTTGTCCAGCATAATTATACTTGGGTCCCATGTAAACGCGAACGACTGCGCCTGGTATGACATTCTGGGAATTAACGTAGATGGAGTATTGGTATTGCTTATGGTCGAGTCTCTTAAGGTGAGCAGTGTATTTGGATGGGGATTGACTCTCTGTACTCTTATGTGGCAATGTTTGTGGCACAGCATTATCAAGGCTAACATCATAATTGCTGAAGTACGTAACGAGATCACTCATGTCGATCTTTTGAATATTAACGCCTGGGACGACAACATCGTTGTATTGATAGGCGGGCAAGGCCTCTTGGTAATAGTGGAATAGTTGAACAATCTTATTGTACAGCTGGTAAAAGACTGGATCTCGGACAGCAGTTTGTCCCAATTCAAGGGCCGACGGACTGTATTCGTAAATATTGTTAAATTGGGGCGCGTTGCCAAATAGTTGTCTGGAAATGGTTTGGAAACTTCCGTAATATCTTGGATTGATACTTCGACCTGTTCCCTCGATGAGCTCTCCAAGAATGTTCAAGCCTTGAGGCTGGTACAGGGATATATAATTTCCTTGGGAGGTAACAACTTGTCCAAGATTAATGGCATCGAGTATTCTTTGCTCTAAAGAGGAAACTAATCGTACGAGATTGTAGTTCTTATGTTTCGGCGTAATGACGATGTGTTCGTTGCGTTCGGGTAAATTAACACCATTGCTATAGCGAAGGTTTGGTTTGTACGGCGTTTCAATGTGTTCGTAGTAAGAGTCGAGTTCGCCAATGGGGCTGAGTCCTTGCCCAAGGCGTTCAAGATTATAACGAGCGAGTAATTGTTGGTGGATGTAATAATAATGAGCACCGTGTCCAACTGTATTGCGGCCTTCTCCTTGGAAAATGCCTTGTTTATTATTCGATGCACTATAATCCTTTGTAAAGAAGATGTGGCAAATATATTATGTATATATATATATATATATTATCAGCAAAACAACAACAACAACAACAAAAATAAATAAATAAAGTGAAAAAATAACTTACTTGTGGCAACATGTAACTGGCTAATTGGACATAGTAATAGTAAGCACTTAAGCCAATGTCATCGGTAAAGTAAGCGATTTGATTTTCTCCGTATGGGGTATTCGACGTGTAATTGACGTTAATATCGTACACACCTGATTGGTCCTTCGCCTCCGAAGCTTCGGAATTATAATTGCTCACGTGATTGTATACGTTTTGAATAATTCTCGCATCAAAGAAATATTGTGGATAGACTTCATATACCGGCGGTAGAATAACACCGTTCATATATGGAAGCTGAAGGACGGCACTGGAGAAAGCCTAAAAATGCCTGGAGTTACTTTATTGAATATACGAATGCCCGCGAGTGATAGTACAATACCATTGTTAACATAAAAAAAAAATTGATGTACTTATAGGGAGACGACGTACCGTAACAAATTGGTCTTCGTTTACGTTGATACGGGCCCATGCAGCAGTGTTTAAGAAAGTTCGATAGTCCTTAGCACCTAAAAATATTTGCGTCAGTATAGCAACTTCTTTACGCAGTTGACTGACTGACGCGGCGAATGGTGTCCCTTTTGGCTGGGTTTGGCCATTTTTAATAAGGCTCGCGTAATATTTCACTAGCGATGGATTTTCATAGTTTTGTAATTGTGATTCGAATTCGTAAGAGGTTCCAACATCTTTTAGAACAGTATTTGGTAATTCGCCATAGATATTCTCCAATAAGTCTATTATATTCTGTTGCTTCCTTAAAAGATCTTGATTGGCTGAAATTTTTGAAACGACAAATTTTCCTTAAATATTTCCACAAAATAAAGAGAAATTATTCATTTATTCTTAAATCAATATTCCTAATACATATATATGATTATGTATGTATTTATAGATAATCAATCGATTGTAATAGCGGAAAATTCATACATCTGGTATAATAAGCCAGAAATTATACATACAGCTTGATATCATAATTATTAAAGGTTTATCAAATTTATTCTAATACAGTTAATGAAAGTATTTCAACGTCTCGTTGAAATAATAAAAGGCAATTAATACATTAATAGAATGAAATTAGAAATATTCGTAAAGACTTGCTGGTAAAGACGATTGATCGAACGTCACAATATTAATGAATAAGGAAACAAATGGCAATATTAATTAAACTTACCGGCATGAAGCGATGGCGAGCTTGGGATTGCCACTGCGAGAGCGAGTAGAGCGAGAAACACGATGCTGAACTGCATTATGATGTGCTTACGTGCTCCGATAAAGTTCGCTTTTTATACCAAACTCATATCATTATCGAATACGCTCGACGACCTTTCGACTTGATAATATTTAATGCGGTTATAAGCCATATTTAATTGAATGAAAGTTCGTTAAAGTCTCACGCCTATTGTATCTGCTCGAGCACATCCAAATCCAATAGGCAGAGATGCGTTTTACTTAACAAAAGCAAATATGCTTGAGTTATTTTGATGCTAGCGAATGTTATTTATTGAGTTTTGAAATAATTTATGCGCGAAGTAAATGGACTCTATTCGAAGGAATATATTCATATAAAAGACATTTTAACATTAAAAGCGTAGATTTTCATTCAATTGTATTGTTTAAATCTACCTATCTACCAATCCTCTACCTACTGTGAAATGTAGAAGAATAATCTTCATCAAATTACCTTTGAACTTATGACGAATGTAAATAATTCACGAGTAATATTTTTCATTAAGCATTTTGAATTAGTTTAAAAAGTTTATTATATTCGAAGAATCTTTGAATAATATATAGGTTTTTAAGTTTTTATTCAATCATTTATTTTTTCATTGCTCAATAGTCTTAGACTTAAATTACATGTTATTATTGTTATACGGTTTACGATAACTTTGTCGAAAGTTATCTCATTCAATATCTCAATTTTCGTAGTCTGCCATTGCGAATCGATTGATTTAATATAAAAAATTTTTCTTCAGAGATAAGAACCCTAATTTAAATATTCCAATTATATATATGTAAAGACGGATCCTGATTTGTTAATACTTCATAAATAGATATATAATTTATCTAATATGGTTAATCACTTAACAACATATAAAAGTGGCGTAAAATATTTACAAAGCGTGGGGTCAGATAGTGCTTGCTTTTCTACATTGAAATCTCCAGAATTAACGTCATTAGCATATTGTCAAAAGTATGTAACTACTTTTCTATTTAAAAAAATAAATGATAACATTATATATACAAAATATTATTTTGAGTATATTTATACATCTATATAAATATTTATATGCTATATAAAATTACCGTATATACTATTATATATATCATCATAGAATATAGAAAAATTATAAGAAAATTAGTTTTGAATTTTATTACGTATACCGCAATATTAGTTAATTAAATAAATAATATTTGTTAAAAAAAAAAGGAACACTTTTATTGCCGACTTTTGCTGCATAGGACATTCATTATTCAATTCTAACCGAATTATAAAACTTCAAATTTTAACAAAATTTATTTTCTACTTTATGATGACATTTATTTACTTTATTTATAAGCAAATTAATTGCTTTGTCTATTTTGTCAATCAAAATTATATAGATACTTTTTTACTAAAATATCATAATAAAGGGCATTGTTTTTTAATTAAATTGAATTTTATTGATATTTTTTGTTTCTGTTTCTGTTTATTTTCAATAGATATTTTACTAATAGGAGACATTATTTACATTTATCCTCGAATATCTAAATTAAGAATATCGAATCTATATAAATTATGAAATTATTAGAATTTCATTGTAATTTTCTTATTTCATTTTGATTGCAAAGCTCAAATGAAGAAAAGAAGGATAATATTTTTTTCATTTATTATTATTATGTATTAATGTATTAATGTAATTAATGATGTATTAATTTTTATTAATCAATATTGTAATCCAATTAATCTTACAGCAAATCATAAACAAATGTTTAAATATATATTTGAATTATTAACAAAAATAAAGGTATTTCTTCTATTCTATTATCTTACGTATCATTCAATTTTCATTTTAAATATTTACTTACTTTCAAACTTTAAATTTAGTTTTAATTTAGTGTAATTATCGAAATTTCTTTCAATAGTCCATTTTCACGAGAGCTTTTATTTTTTATTTATTTATACTAAATATTTTAGTGAACACGTAAATAGACGAGTTTTATCTATAATTGCGAGAAGATCTAGTTTTTGTATTCGTGAGAGTAAATGTTTATGTATAATCTAACAAACTAGATATAATAAATAATATACGATTAAATTAAAAATAAATATTATATGAGTTTTGTTGTAAAAATCAATGAATCTTAATAAATATTGTTTATTTATTATCCTTTTATCGTTTATCGAACAGTATATGTAATTTATTTATTTTTTTTTTTTTATAACAGCTTTAACAAAATAATTGTTTAATTTATTACAAGTCATATATTTATTTACTTTATTTTTGAATGCATTAAGTATTAAAATAATAATTGTACAAAGTTCTTTCCTTTCATTTTATTACAATAAGTTTGATATTCATAAAAAGAAAAACATGATATTATATATTTATTTATTCAAGTAATTTACCTTCAAATTTTAATGAAATTAATTATGCAATGGAAGCGCAGGATCGATTAAAAAAAAAAAAGCAGATTCGAGTTTTATCGTAAGATTCAATACTTTATTTTTATCTAGTTTGCATAGCATCTAACGATCTAACGATAAATCCGTTTGCTGGAAATAAGGGAACTTGTAGTAGTAGTATAAGCAGCTACGTTAATCAATGTTTTGAACGAGAAATAAATTATTGACTAAACTTTTAATTACAGACAAATCTACATACACACACCAACGAACATTGTAGGAACGTTGCATGTATGTAATTAAATTTGCAGCAATAATGTGTATTTTTTGTGCAAATGATGATCACATGTATTTTTCTAATTTTCTAATTAGGAATGAAGTTATTTTAATAAGTTATTGAATATTTAAAGCCTTTCTAATGCTCTAAGAGTGATGAAATACTTTTACCTATAATTCTCATAGATAATTAGGATAAACCATACTTTAGTCTTCTGTTAATTGTAATATTGCTATGCCGAACGTAGAGTGCACAGATTAATACTGATTGCGCACACCTTCTATTTTAATTTTCATACTACTTAAAATGTTAGTGGTTTCACGATTAATTAATTAATAATTTATTGATATCAGATTAAAATAGCTGAAGTAAATGATAGATGAAATTGAAATAAAATATAAGAAATATTAATAAATAGCTTTAAATAACATTAATAAATGGCTCGATTAACAACTAAATTATCTAAAATCTACAAAATTTGTTATCATACATTTTGTGGTATTAGTTTCCTTCCAAAATTGATATATTAACATTATCTATTTAATTTTACACAGAAGATGAAATAATTAATTAAATAATAATGAGAATATATAATAGGAAGGTAGACACGTATGTGAATGGTTAATCCGGTTGTGTCAATGATACTTTAGGAGCAATAACCCCAATAATATGGGGAAATATTATCGTTAAACATTTATCGTCAATAACTTAATAATGACCACTATTATTATTATTTTTATTAACGTCTTATCATATGTTAAGAGATAAACTATTATTTTTATAAATATATTTATTTATTGTAAACAATAGGCGTATATCGCGATAAGAAAAGGCAATTATACGTAATTAAAAATATTTCGATATACAGAATATTCCACTTCTGAATATGCCAGTAAGAATCCCTCAGTCGTATCATCATTTAAGGTAAGAATTTAATAATTGAACTAGTTGATGTACAATTGATTAAATGCTTAGTTGGCCCAATTAAAATTATCGAGGGCATTGGTAAAAATGTTTAAGCAGCTTAGAGAATTTTAAAATAAGATAATTGAAGTATGGGATGATAATAGGAGTGGAAAGGGCGGAGGGGAGGGAATAAGAAAGAATTATGCCACAGGATCCAGGAAGTAAAGCTCCAGTTTAAAGCGAATCTCGAATTCAGTACATTCTAAGACAGTAAAGTCTGGATTATAGGATTTCACGTGAACACTGCGCGATCTTATTAATTTTCCGTTTAATTAGCGTTGAATTAGGCGACGAATTTGAAACTATTATTTGCCAAGCTAAGAAAACAGGCTAAAGGAGACAAACAATATAGCTATACCTTAATAACAATTCAGTTATACCTTGCTGTATCATTTTGAGTAATTCATCTGGAAATAGAGGGAGAAGGAAATATGGAGTGAGAGATATACACGTATAAAGAACAAGGTAAGAAGAGAAATTGGAAACGGCGAAATGGGCGAGGAACGTTGGAGAATAATTCATCGTAATTGTAATTACGGAAACATGTGATAAAGCTAAATAGATAAAGGATGTTTTACAGCATTATTAAATTTACTATATATATATATGTATATATATATATAAATATATATATATATATATATATATTTAGTCGGTAAATATTGTATTAAAGTTGAAAAACAATTATGGATAATTGTGAATTGTAAATACGCTTGAAATATTTTTCATTGGATTATCAATAATAATATCGCTACAATCATAATGGCAAATCAGACTGTATTTCTTCCATCAATTATGCAATATTGATATCAATCGAAATTTAATTGAAGCTATATTAAAGATAACTATATATCTGAGTTTATAAAAAGAGTGACATCATTCGGTTCACTAAATTCGTTCAGACGTTAAGAGATAATTTACAACTTTATGACGCTAATAGTTATCAAAAAATGATTCAATGAACTTTCATATTATAAATATGCGCAAGAAAAAAAATTTTAATTAAAATTTCGAAACCGGTATTGGTTATATGATGATAAAAGTTTAATAACACAAAAAATATTTGATTTTCGATGGATGATAAAAAATAATTAATTACAATACGAAATGATAATATTTCATAAC